ATTATAGGTGATTTTTCTATATTTTAAATAGTTCAGACTATCTTTTAGAACAGTTTTAGAATTACAGAAACTTTTACTTTGTAACTATTTTTAAACATTCTCTAACATATTCATATATAACTTCTATTTAAGTGTCCCTAAAGTAATATCAAAATAGAAAACTTCTGAATGCCAGAGTTCAAAAGTGCATTTTAAATGAAAGTATGAAGTAAAAGAGCCAAAATTAGAGCTCAATGTTTTTAAAATTAAAATGACTAATTTCCCCTTTTACAGGAAATGTGAAAATAAACACTGAATGCATTTAAAAATTTGTGTGAAGGAATTCTCATTTGTATCATTAACAAGTAGAAATCTTAAAAGCTGATGGTGTTGATGGTGAGTTTAAGACTTTTTTCAACACTTAGGTAATTTTTTTAAAGATTAAATACCTCTGTTACTCTCATCCACTCTTTGGAACCAGAAGAGAACATAAACAAATAGAACTAATAAGAACCTACACACCCTTTCTGAAAAGTTGTGAAAAAAGATTAAAAAAACACAAAAAAAAGAGAAAAAAAAGGTTCAACATCATTTTTTGCACAATAGCAGAACTTGAATGTTTCCAAAACAGCTAGTAAGCAATTATATACATATTTTCTTTTGGAAATCTCCAAGAGAAAGGCCATTCACTTTTCCACATACCTGTTACAAATCACAGTCATTGGTTATATATGAAGTCTGCCTAAATTTTGCAAAACAGAAGTGGATACTTGGAAAGTAACACACTGCAATAAACCTATGTTTACCCAACCACAAAATCAACTGAAGTTTCCTAAATTGAAAGACAAAAGCAAGTAAAAGCATATGGCTAGAAATAAAAAAACAAGTAGAATGAGTGTCCATTTTATGTCTTCCTCCAGACAGTGAGTTCACTTGCAGGGTGGTGGAGGCGGAACTTGAAAACAATTTTTTAAAAAGATGAAGGTACAGAAGAATCTTAACAATAGTTAGCAACCATAAAATTATCAAGGTTATAACTGCTAACTTTTATTAGGTAGCTATGCATGTTACCTGTCATTTCTTTCTTTTGTTCTTGTTCTGGTCCTTCACTACCATTTCATCTGGCTAGTTAGGTGATTTAGATGGTTGGCTCTAATTTATTCTCTAATTATTCTAACTTTATAAGAAAAAATACTGATGAAATTTCAAGAACAGATTACTTTCTTAGTGTTCTTATTATCTTATAGGCTAGTTTTAAACCAAACTTAAGACATCCTATAAAAAGAACACAATAGAAATTATATTGTCATATAACATCATTATTATATTCACAGTATATGCTCCTTCAAAACAGTTTGAATAGTATTCACAGTAAATATTTATTGAAACTGATAGATAATATACAAAGACACACATGCTCACACATCCAACTGGGCATCATATATACGAAATCTGTCCAGAAGGTGTCCAACCATGTAATATGAAAAAGAGACATTTATTGAAAAAGATACAAGATACAAGAAACATTGTGTACAGGGCAATGATGCCTCAGTGCCCTTCAAAGTAGGCACATTGGGGCCTCACACAATTCTCCCAATCGCCCTCAGCTGCCTCATTGTTTACTGTCAGTTTATTCTTTACCTCAATGTCTCTGGTTATATTTTGCTTGCTTGTTTGTGTTGTTGATTAGGTTCCACTATAGGTGAGATCATATAGCATTTGTCTTTCACTGCTAGGCTTATTTCACTTAGCATAATGATCTCTAGTTCCATCCATGCTGTCAAGAAAAGTAGGAGCTGCTTTCTTTCTGCTGTGTAGTATTCCATTGTGTAAATGTATCACAGTTTTTTGATCCACTCATTTACTGATGGACACTTAGGTTGCTTCCAGCACTTGGCTATTGTAAATTGTGCTGCTATGAACATTGGGGTGCATAGGTACTTTTGATTTGGTGTTTCAGGATTCTTAAAAGTATAATCCCAGCAGCGGAAATGCCAAATCAAAAGGCAGTTCCATTTTTAGTTTTTTTGTGAAAATTCCATACTGTTTTCCACAGTGGCTGCACCAGTCTGCATCCCCACCATTAATTTACTAGGGTTCCTATTTCTCCACAACCTTGCCAGCACTTGTTTGTTGATTTGTTTATTATGGCCATTCTGACCGGTGTGAAGTGCTATCTCATTGTGGTTTTAATTTGCATCTCTCTGATGGCTAGTGATGCTAAGCATCCTTTAATATGTCTCTGGGCCCTCTGTATGTCCTCCTTGGAGAAGTGTCCATTCAGGTTCTTTGCCCTTTGAATAAAAATATTTTTTGAAGTGCTTCCATAGCACCTGGTGCAGTTGTATTCAAAATCACAACTGTGAAGTGACTGTGGCATAACAGAAAGAGTCCAATACTCTGGATTCACTTTTAACTAAGCTGCTTAACAAATAAGTTATTTAATATCTCTGAGCTTTAGTTTCTATTTATGTGATTTATGGGTAGTAATATTTATACCCCTTCTCATAAAGAGATATTGGAAGGAAAAATTAGATATTTTTGGTAAGCTATAAAAATACTACCTAAGGCAATAAAAATACCACCATTGTTAGTCACAGCAAAGTACACGAAAGTATCATTAAGGAAGAAAAATCTGAAAAACAACTTTTCCAACTTTCTTCCAAAAAAGCAACTTTTGTGGGGAAAAAATCTGAAAAGCAACCTTTTAACCATCAAAATGTACTTATTCAAGAGTTTCTTGAGTACTGACTGTGTGACAGCTTGGAAATAACTTCCCAAATATTAATCAGAAATGTAGTCTCCATAAACCTATTACTAATATCAAAAATCTTAATGGCACTTTGAGGTTTGCACTAAGACAAGTTGGATATATAGTCTCTCAAGTAAATCCTGGCCGCAAATATTAACAAAAGAAATGAAATTTGGTCAACTTCTCCAATCACCTCCCCAGTACTTACATCTCTCTGTAACAATCCTAGCAAGCAACAGTCTATTCCCATTGGTTAGCAATCTACCAGTTTAAAGAGCATCATCTAAATTATAGGTTCTGAAAGTCTGACTCAGTAAGTCCAGCAAAGCACTGGGACATGTCTGTGCAGTGTGCCTCCCCAGTGACTGAGTTCAGCCAGAATCTGAGTGCCAACGGCAGTGCAGTGACCAGTCCTTTCTGCTTATGGCCAGTGCACCAAACTGCAATGGTCTTAGGTTGAAATTTCCCCCACTTTACTTGTCATCTTAATCCTAATCTTACTCTGGGGACCACATCCAACACAAGCCTAAACCTTCTCCAGGATAAACATCTCCAGTTCCTTCAAGTAACCCCAGAATAATATATTTTAAACCTGATAACCCCCTAAATTGTCCATATCTTTTTAAATTTATATATCATGCCCAGAAGAGAACACAATTATCGTGTAGAATACAATAGGGGTACTCTCTCCTTCATTAGAGTTACAATATTTTCATTAACACAGCTTAAGTGAGCCTTCCAGGCTTCCTAATATTAATGTATACAGTGCCACAGCATATTTACCAAAACCAAAAATGGGCTGTTTTACTTCTGAAAATCACATCTTTTTAGACAAATTACTTTTTTTGTTGTTACTTACTTTTCTGTGTAAGAACACAGACTTTTCCTTTAATCAGCACAGGGACTTTTCACTTTTCTTTTGTTTTATTACTTCTTGTAAGTAAATTCCCTTACATTTTACCTTTTAAGATTCAGTGCAACATTTCATCAAGCCTTAGACTCAAAGATTCAGGCTTTGAGTCTTGCAAGATGAAATATAACATCCCATACTTAAGATACTGAGTTCCTGTATTTGCTGAGATACTCTGAGTCAAGATCCACTTAGATAATATCCACTATTGCCACTAGATTCATGCCATACAAATGTATGTTAAGCAAGATATCTATACTTCCATCCAATTCCTCAAATTCAATGGGCCGAAGCTTAGAGTAATGTAAACCTCTCTCAGGGTGCATTAAATAACTTCTGATGTGTTCTACCAATGATTTACAAAATCAACCAGTTATCTGTATATCTAGCTACTTCTGTTTTTCATGTAAACATATTATTCCTTGTCTCACAGAAGTTGAGACACACTGTGGCCCCTCACAGTTTATTTTTACTAGTCAAATACACGTTTGCACGTTTTGCTTCTTCAGTTGAAAGGTACACTGGTATCCAACCCACGGCCCGTGGGCTGCCTGGGGACCAGGACGGCTATGAATGGAGCCCAACACAAAGTCATAAATTTACTTAAAACAATATGGTATTTTTTTGTGATTATGTCACAATGTGTGGCCCAAGACAACAATTCTTCCAGAGTGGCCCAGAGACACTAAAAGGTTGGACACCCCTGGCTATCTGCGCAAAGGAAGGAATCTGTCTCCCAAATAACTCTGAAATGCTTAGGAAAAAAATGGAACTCTCTAAACCTAACATTGACTGGCAACTCACTGAAGCAGCTAATGACCATGTGTGAGAACTGGTGCTCATAGGAAATCTGTAGAGAATTCCTGATGAGTCACACACTGAAATGAGAAGAAATAGCAAGGTGGCATCGGTAGTATTATCCCTTCAGGAAGAAAAGAGAATTCAATTTATCCTCTTGAAATTAGTTACTGGTCTTAATTATTATAAAGCTTAGGTAAAAAAAAATGGCTCAAGATAGCAATTTACTATTGAAATCCCAATTAAAAAAGGATAAGTTAGACATGTGGGCCCAAAGATAGCTATATTCAGCTACATCCATCACTGCCAAAATTTTTTTCTAAACCATTTACTTCCCCTCAAAAGATGTGAATAATTTCCAATTCTGTTTATCTCTCAAAACCAGGCTGTGAAATCAGTTTTTAAATTGCAAAACAGACTTGACAATGCTTTCAGGAAGGTTGCAAACTCATAGCAAATTGATGCTTTATCATTCCAGTGAGATTCTAAAAATGGGGAATCCATCTTTAAAAATCTTTAATAAAGCATCAGTGTACCAAGAACAAAGCTCTTCCCACTTACCTCATAGTAACTCCGAACAGCATTACAAAATGCTTCATCAGCTACTATCTGGGTTTCCCCATTGAGGAAGGCCTGGAACCGTTCTTTCAGTAACTGCAACTGTTGTTTGTTAAGCTATAAGAAAATGAGAAAATTTTGCCAATTATGAAGTGTAATGATTTTAAAAAGTTGTATTTATTATATGAGTATTAGATTCAACACTTAGAATTAACTGTATGGTAAAGAAAAATAAAAACTTAGAAGTCCTACTTTTATAGTTATGGCTCAGTTGCAAAACATTTTCAGTTTACTTTCCCATATACTCTAGAATCCAGACATTGCACTGAAACCCAAATTTCTACTCCAGGTGGAGTTTCTATGATTATTACCCTGATCTCTTTGCGGAGGCAGGGAAAAACTAAAATTGGGGTGAGAAATTAATTTGTGCAAAATTGCCAGCTGTCCCGAACAGAGAGGGCAGAGAACAAGAAATCTTGGAGGTGACTGGACGACCATCAGCCCCAGACAAGAGATAACAGGGAGGAAGGCCACGAATGATGGGCATTCTGAGAAAGAATCCTCCAGAAAGGACATCTGTTGGATGCCAAAAGTTTGGATTCCATGAATAAATAGGTCAATGACTGAGTTGAGATCAATAAAGGAATGATAAGGAGGAGACAAATCCAAAAGAGAACAGAGTTGCAACAGGTGAGCAGTGAGTGCATCTTTAAGCACTTTGGGGGAAGAGCTGGAAGAGCTGTGAACCAGGGCAACCCAATTTCCTTGGCTTGGGTCTCACTATTGTAATTATTATTGAGGGTGGGTTAGACATGAACTATAACTTACCAACCATGTCTAGTCATCAACTACAATGAGAATCAGCTACTTAATTCGTAGGGCCCAATACAAAATGAGAATGAGGAGCCCCTTGTTAAAATACTAAGAATTTCAGGTCTGCAACAACAGCATTAAACCAGGCCTGGGACCCTTCTGAGCACAGAACCCTATGCAACTGCACGGGTTCTTGCCCATGAAGCCAGCCCTGACTATAGGATCCAAACTTCTCTGGAGGGAGTGTACATCAGGTCATGCAGAAACATTTTTTAAAATGTTTAACTGCAGAAAGGAAAACACAATCTTGCAGCTAAAACAAATCCCAAAACATATAGGAACATGACAGGAGTAATCTCTCCATTTCACTTGAGCCTCACCAGACAATTAACTCATTCAGTCTGGATACTACACAGAGATGTGAAGCATTTGGAAATATACTGATGATAAAATGATTAAAAGATTAGAAAAACTAAACAAACTGGTATGAGTTGGCTTCAAAAAAATAGGCTGATTTGAAATAACTTTAAATCAGTTCAAAAAGTTTAGACAGTTTGTAAAGATACTGTCGCTGGTAGTAACAGACCGATAAAGAAGTGTCCCATTATTGTACCACCGTGTGAAAGGAAAACCTTTTGCCCTGAGCAGTGTAGAGTGGCCATTCCATTTCTTTACTAAGGTTATGGCTCCATTCTAGGGAAAGCTAAATTGAGCTAAAATGCAGAAACATCACCATTATATTACATTCTCCATTTCTATAATATGAGGAGAATACAAGCAGGGACCTTTTGCGTATATGTAAGCAAGACAATGAAGTCCATGACTTTAGCTTTCTAAGCAGGGTCCAAAAAAGGGACCAGACGGAAATAGGACAGCAACTGCTGAGAGTGAGACAGCTGAGAACACTCCAGGTGCCGAGCCCTGGGAACCGCCAAGAATGGCTTCAACTTGCAAACCAAGAGTCCAGGCAAAATAATGAAATATATGTAGGAATAACAACAAATTGGAAGGGACATTAACTATCATATGCCCCAATCTGCTTACTGGATAAATAAAATAAGTTGTTTAAAAAACAGTAGATTTCTTCATTCAATTTTCTTTCAGCAGACTTTATATTCTTTAAACATTCCTCTAAGCTTTTGTAATTTCTAGTTTACCAGTGTATAACTAGCTGTTGCATCAATAAGTTACTTTTGGTGATTATGGCATGAAAAATTCATCAGTACAAATCCAGGAAAGGAGATTTAAGCAAATCATCTCCTTAGAAATGCCTCTGTTGGTGCAGTTACAAAACGTGCTAGAGGCACCAGGATAAATATGAGGCTTCAACTTTTTTTTATTAAAGACTTTATTTATTTATCTTTAGAGGGGAAGGGAAGGAGAGAGGGAGAGAAATATCAATGTACAGTTGCCTCTTGTGTCCCTGCTGGGAACTGGCCTGCAACCCAGGCATGTGCCCTGACTGGGAATGAACCATGGCTGCTTGGTTCCCAGGCCTGCGCTCAATCCACTGAGCTACACCCGTCAGGGATCAACTTTTTAATGAATAAAAATTACTGTAGTTATATTCAAGACATAAAATGTCAAAAAATATTATAGTGATATGCAAATACCCAATAAAGGATACTTTACTACTATAGTAAAGAGGTCTATATTTCCATGTAAAAAATAGAGAGAAAAAAAAAGAAATTTAAAATCCAGCAGTGGGCATAGCTGTCAGAAAGTAGAATTCCTTAAATGTTGTTTGCATGATCAAAATAAGTTGTTATACACCAACAGACAGAGACCAACAGAATATACCGAAGAAATGGATACAAATATAATCAGACATGTACTATGAAATACCTTTATTAACACCTAAAGTCAGTTGTAAAAGATGGTCTAACCAGTCAGTGGTCTCACAATAACTGAGAAGCAATGCAGAAAAGAAGTTAAAGTGGAGCATAACACATGCAATTACAGTCCCAATGAGTTAAAATTTTTTCATACAAAAAATGGAACTGTAAATTAGTAAATGAAAAGAATGGCAGAACTCCTTTAAATCCTGGTATGAGAAAGACCTTTCTAACCATGAATCAAAATCCACATGTCATAAACTTAATTGCATAAACATTAAAAATAAATTTAGCATGGCAAAAAATGCCATAAATAAAATTATTGGAAAAGACGACAGAAAAAAGATATAATTCATATCTTAAAGAGCTAATTTTCAAACTCGTGGATCCTAGATATTGATAAGAATGTTACCAATAATCCATCAGAAAAATGGACAAACTGAATACATTTAGAAAAATGACTCGAACTATGAAAGCCTAACTTCACTCATAACCAACAACTGCAAATTAAATCTACATGAGAGGGGAAGGATTCTGGGAAGACAGTGGAGTAGGAAGCACCAGCAATGTGTCTCCAACAAGAGCCAGGGCAGTATCTGTCTGATAGAACAGATCCTCTGGAGTCTACTAAAGACTTGCGATGTAAAGGGGAAAGCTTAACTGGAATGGCAATTAGTTTGGGTCAATTTCAGCTCTTAGCACAGTTGCCGCTACCCATCCTGAAACCCTCAGCCCTACAGCAGCACCCCCATAAAAAAAAAGCCAACAACCTAAATTTTCATAGAGAACTAAGTAAATAATATGACATTCAAACAATGCTAACACTATTAGCTCTTTTAAAAGAACAAAACAGTTCTATTATGTACTGATAAGATCTTCAAATTATCTTGGGGAAGAAAACTAGTTATAGAACAGTACACAAAATAAGCCACCCCCAGAAAACATGCAAAATCAGAATTTGTATTTGAATTTGCTTCCAAATGCAAACAGAAATCATGGCAGGGTAGCGGTGGGAACTGGACAGATGGAAAATACAGCTGAAAAAGATTTTTCAACCTATACCGCTTTATTTATTTTAGGATTTAAAGCACAGGACCCTTTTTTATCTATGCAAGTTTTTCAAATAAGCTACAATAGCAACTTTGCATATCTGTAAACCCAGAATGATTATAATACATCACACACAGTTTAAATCTGATCACCCTGCAAGGAGGACGGACAACTAAACAATGGACTTTTTCGATTTTCCTTTCAGGTAAAAGATTTCAGTTTACCTGGATCCTTTCATTAACATTTCAACTCTAATGATTTCTAAGAAAGGTCTATCTTTTTTTTGGAGGGGGGTGGTTTAATGTAAATTTTTTGTTTTAATTAAAATGGATATCCATCAGAGGGGGGTGGTCTACCAAGGCAAACGTGTTGGAGCATGGCACAGATGAAATGAAACACCAGCACCCTACATGAAACTGAACGACAATGTCAGAAACACACCATGGACAACACACCATTGTAATTAACGTACTGATTTCCACACAATGCATACCACAGCCTCTCAACTCCATGTGAGCCTATTAAACTAAAACACACAAACCTCTTACCTTACTACTTCACAAGGAAGTCAATTCTAATTGGACAGCTATAAAGAATTAAAACCTGTTTCCCTATGACTTCCAGGAAATCCTAGTTTTATATTATCTAAGATAAAACAGACTCTTTCCTTTTTCAACGTAACAGTTCAGAAACTTGAAGACAGGTTCTGGGTTATTTGTGAGCCTTCTCCTTCCCAAATTAAATTTTTCCAGTTCCCCCAACATCCTAAGGGTACTGCTCCAGTTTGTCCATAAATTAAGTATTAGACAGTTAAATAAAACTAAGTATAAGAAAGCACTCTGAAAGCCTTTAATATTATGCAAATAAAACTAATATAGCTATGTCCTCCCTAAAATATACTGGATAGATTGATCATGATTCTGCAAGGATAGTGTGACTGACACAGACAAGTGGGAGGACCATTTCCCACATTGTAAGTGCTCTATATCTATTAATTCAAACTAAGAACAAATGAACTCTTCTTGGAAGTCACACCAACTGACTCATCATGATTATAATCAAGAAAATTTTCTAAAACATTTTTACATGGGCTTCACTAAGACATCTGTCATTTCACTGTATTCATTTGGTCCATTGTTCCAGTTGAGTAGAGTATTATTCTAAAATGCCAATACCTTCACTCAATGACCAAAGAGCTCTCCTAGCTTTGTTATATCCACGGACATAATGTGTTTTCCACACTCAGGTCATTATAAAGACCTTCATCAGTTCGGGATTAAAGAAAGCAGGAAACCTGTCATTATATGTATTCATCTGGTTTGACACCATCTATCAATTGACATTGTTTGGGGCATTTGATTTTATTATTATGCAACTAACCTTTTAGTTTTGTCCATATATCATCTTTGTACTAGTACA